GGTATAAACAGTCCTCAATTTAATGTTGAACGTGGAGAAGTGGTCCTGATTCATTTTGACATCAAAACATGAGCATGCACACAGACAGCACTGAAAACAGGAAAGCAAGTAATCACCCAATGATTAGGGATACCTGCTGCAGCATCTCCATATAGCCTGCCAGTCATGTTTACCTGCTAAGACAGACATTTTTTTTTTCTTTGCAATCAGGATTTTCCAGCTGGAACATTTTGTTTAAGTAACCTCTAAGTTAAACGGGATGAAAATGCTTTAGAATTTACATCAAACCTTCTGAAGAGTCATAGTTTTTAATAAATCTAACAAACTATTTGCACCAGCCAATGCTCTTGGCATTTCGAAAAAGGCACATTTATGATTAAAAACATTTTTTGTCATTTAGGACACTTGTAATGTTTAGTACCAAAACAGAATGGACACAAGGAGACACAACCCAAAGAAGCAGTTAACCATTTTTCTTCAACAAAACAAAAATCCATTCCATCAATTTTCCTTCACGCCTTATCCCAGCTGGGGTGGGGAGGAGTGCTGGTGCCTATCTCCAACTGTCTACGGGTGAGGGGCGGGGTCCATCCTGGACAGAGAGGCGGGGTCCATCCTGGACAGAGAGGCGGGGTCCATCCTGGACAGGTCTCCAGTCCATCGCAGGGCAGCACAGAGACAAACAGGACAGACAACCATTCACTCACACTTGAGGAGGATTTAGAGAAGCCAATTAACAGTGTTGTAGTACTCGAGATTGGTCTTGGTCTCGAGCCAAATGCGGTCTTGTCTCGGACTTGACCGCATTTGGTCTCGGTCTTGTCTCGGTCTCGGGCGCTGAGGACTCTGCATTTTATTTCAAGTCCAGTCAAGACCACAACTGTGGAAATAACGCTAATCATCAGAATATTAGCAGTTTCTTTAAGTTCCTTCTGTTTATTGGATGCTTGGATTCAAATCCAAGCAATAACCTCATAGTCTCATTGGTGAATGCAGTGAAGGAGATCAATCTATTTTTTCAACAAATTATCTGTCTCATAACATATTTCATAACTTGGTGACAGATATAGATTTATTAAAGAAAAGTTATATAATATAGCTTTAATCTGTATATGACAGAGAAACGGTTGAACTGTAAAGTGCCTTGAGATGACATGTGTTGTGAATTTGGCGCTATATAAATAAACTGAATTGAAATAAACTGAATTGAAACAAGAGAAATGATTGGCTTTTTTTCAGTTTTACACATTTTACAGAATTTTGCACATTGTTTTGAAATAGCACATTTAAAAACAACATAAATGTATGTACTGTTCATGAACGGCAGAGAAAATACAATTTTGATTTTGATACAATTTCTATGATTAATTGTTTGAAATTCTGTGATTACTACACAGAAGTACTAAATAAA